TGTGTGTGTGTGTGTGTGTGTGTGTGTGTGTGTGTGTGTGTGTGTGTGTGTGTGTGTGTGTGTGTGTGTGTGTGTGTGTGTGTGTGTGTGTGTGCGCGCGCGTGTATAAGTAGGGACTCTTGATGGTTCGCGTGGGCGTGCAAGTTGTTCCATCGCAAACAAATTTCAATATTCCGTCCGGAGATCAATGATCTTTAACGTAAAAATCTCAATAACGATGCCCGGAGATCAATGATATTAGACGTTAGTTGTCACGTCGCGATCCATCGCTGCAGACGCGTATGAGAGAAGAGACGACCTTGGTGTCGTTGCTACGCTGCCAGAGCCGCGGGCCGTCTTTCGTCACCGGCGCAGGGAGAATGGCGTCCCGCACAGAAAAACGCTCGCGATCATCTCTTCTGCTACAGCGACCTGTTCCGTCTGCCGCACACATGCTCACGATTCGCTACGAAGCTCACGCTGCAGGCGGAAGCGCCGTAAGCTGCTATGTCACTAATTGTAGCATCCTATAGTAGCGGCGTACACTAGGTACATGAACGGCGGCGCTATACGTTATTACTCGGCATGCATGCGGAACTTGTGTGTGCCGAAGCGTATACTATGTCTATATAATTGAACACAAAGTGTATAGCGTGTTCAGCGCGGCTGCTTACATTTCAAGTTTCTGCTGAAATAGCGTTAACATTCATAAGAAAGAGACATATTTATTATAGTTAGTTATTGAAATGGAATAAGCTTATGGACGCGGTAATGTTATAGCAATAAGCGCGTGAGGTCGAGCCCAGGAAGATAGCTCGCGTCGGTTGCCTGTTTCCGTTTAGCCAATAAATCACCGAGTGAAGACACCAGCCAGCATCTACGGCACCACATCTCACTCCTCGGGCTTCATTAGAACGAAAACCCTCGCGAAAGCCGCGCGTTTATTTATAATCCAGCCGCACCGCTGCCCTGCTATTTCACTAGAACCACCTGGCTTTCACATACGCGTCTACCCTCAAGCAGGCTTGTTGGTCGATATGATATATGCCATGCATGGGCATTGTAATTTGAAGGCGAAATCCCCGAGGTACCCTGGAGTATGCGGAATGCATACACCGCGGTCGACATTAGTGTAAACGCACGGCGCTAGCTCTTTTAGACCGACTTTCACCGAAAAACAATTTTTGGCGGGGTTTCACGCTGTGGTCAAGCGTGCCGACCCAAATCTAATCGGGAAATGACGAACAACTGCTTGAGTGCTACGATAAATCTACACGTGGCTAGAAATCCATGTAGAATATCGGACTACAAACGTGATCTGCGCTTAGCTATAGTCAGGGGTTAATAATAACAAAAAAGTCATTGTGATTTGTCGTTATTAACCCCTGCTATAGTTAAGGCTGATGGGATGTTACCTTTGTAGGAATTGCATGTGTTCCGTGTGCCGGATCATGCCAGTCCTCATCATGATAGTTTGGAAGCATGGTCTGTCGATGGCCCATAGCTTGCAGTTCGTTAGTGCTGAAACATATCACCATATGCCACCAGTCGCAATACGACATACGCCAGACTTGTAGCTATCACTATTTTACCCATTCCGGCCTATATATATATCTATATCAGTATCTGTGCCAGTGTGAGTGTGTGCATTGTACTGCAGTGACGTAGTGATTTGGTTGCCACTAAAGATCATGACATTTAAGCGATTTTTATATTTTTGTGCCTTTTTGCCGTTTAATCTATAGGGTTTGCGGAAGTTAATTGCTCCTTTAGACGCAGATTAATCAATACTTTTGCTTGTCTGTGGTCGAAACCTTTTCACGTGTAAGAAGCCGACTAGTCTTATGTATTTTATGATGCAAAACTAGGTTAATCTAAACTCTAGCTCCTGCTGCCTTTTTTCACATCAGCAAAATGCTTTGTAAATCGTAGCCACCACAGTGAGATCACTTCCCGTTCATGAACTGTGAAAGAAGATACTCTACGAAAACATTCGACCGGCCTTCGCCTTTATTTCCTAGACATCCCTCCAACTCGTCGGGTGTCAAAACGGTGTATATCACGTGCCTCATGATACTATCAAGAGTAGATAATAACAAATGTGTTATTATCTACTCTTGATACTATAAAGGGAATTACACTGTGACCAACGCTGCATTGACCGTAAAGCAGTCGTAGACCGTATTAGCAGCAAAGGAAAAGCAATAAAAGCTCAATAACTGCCTCGGCCGCGCTCTTCTTTAGTCACCAAGCATGGGTGCATGGACCCTGCCGATTAAGAATAACGTAATGAAGTAATGAGCATATCCGAGTTCCGAGATCAGGCTTATTGACGTGCGCCATAGAGCAAGCTAATAGTAAACAAGTTGACGCGTAGAGGCTAAAAACGTCTTCCGGAAAATAATAAAAAGCACACGCGTGAAACTGCTGATTCACCCTTAGTTGTTTTTGTACGCGCAAAGTATTCTGTCGAACTGTGCAAAAAATCAACATGAATACATTTAGGCTCGGCATCTCCGCATACGAAAGGGACAGTGGAACGATGCTACTGCAGTCGCAGGTGCTACTCGTTTGCACGGCAACATGCGATGATCTATAGTGCGCTCGATGCAACAAGGACGAACAGTGCACACGAGGCGAGTTTTGCTTATTAACTGCGTATTATTAATCAGGCGTATTAACTGCCTGACTTAGCGATAGCATCATCCAAAACCCGGCACGACAGGCACAAATCATCGGTCTCGGAGAAACCTAAATATATCACTTATTATCAGTAGCCTGTTGGGGGGGGGGAACAATATCAAATGTGTCGGAATGATCTTTCCTGGTTAAAGATAGACATCTATCGATGGATATATCCGAATACCCCTTATTTGGGCAATCTGTCCGTTCGTTTATCTGTTCGTTCAGCCCTTCGTCTGTCCAGTGGATAGAGTCAGTGGAAATATAGTAAGTGTTCCAATAAATTTTATATAGACACAGCTGTTGAGGCAGCGTGGATAAATCACAATATGTACCACGCTAACCAAACAAACACGGTTAATATGATTGCTTTTGTAACGTGCAGTAAGAAACAGCCAGCTGGGGACGGCAGTAAAATATCCAACATATTATGAAAAAAAACATGGCTTCAGCTTACTAGGTCAGCTTCTTCACACCTGCACACGCGTGCAAGCCCCACACATAGCCGCATCCAATCTATCATGCAGTAATGTACGAGAAGAATATTTGTTGCGTCTTGATTTCAATGCTATACGTTATTCACCTGCGACCGTTCACGTTTCAGTCATCAAAGCTATACTAATTATAGAATGGCTTCGAAGGTTTGCTATCGCGTGTGGATAGAAATGATGCCAGAATTTTACTCGTTACGTTAGAATTGCTAGAAAAGAGTTTGTTAGAACGTCTTCACCAGAACGAGGTCGGTCACGTGACGCAATATGGTTTCCGTCTCTTTGTCGACCTACGTAATGTAGAGCCTTTCTGGTTGTGCATAATAATCATGTGGAAGTCTTCTACCTATACAACCCATAATATGTTATCCCTTAATATTATCCTATAAATACAACCCATGCAATCGCAAGCAATCGAGAAAAAAACCCGACAGGTAGCGAGAGAGAGAGAGAGAGAGAGAGAGAGAGAGCGAGAGAGAGAGAGAGAGAAAGAGAGAGAGAGAGAGAGAGAGAGAGAGAGAGAGAGAGAGAGAGAGAGAGAGAGAGAGAGAGAGAGAGAGAGAGAGAGAGAGAGAGAGAGAGAGAGAGAGAGAGAGAGAGAGAGAGAGACAGATAGAAAGGAAACGAGCAAGAGGGAGAGGGAGAGAGAAAGGGGAGAGACAAAGGGACAGAAGCCATGCCGTGCTATAACTGAGTGTCGGATTATGCGCGCAAATGCTCTCTAATGTGATCGACTGATTATAGCAACGCGGGAGTAAGAAGCCGCTCGTTATGATACTAATGGATGTTTGAGATTTTGAGTCAGGGATGTCGTGCTGATAGTGTTGGCAACGGGTATCAAAGCCACTACAGGTACGAATTTCCGTGCTTCGGTAAGCATAGCTGTGTTAAGCATATAGCTAACGTTGTTAGACAGTAGCCTAGTTTGTCTACCTCTCGTCACGCATGCGTTAGCTCGCGATATAGGCTCTTCATCAGGCGTAATATCACGAGATTTCGTGGCGATATTAAAGCTATTACTGGGTGTAACTCGATAGAATTTACTCCTCGTCTGTGAGCACTAATCTAACGCGCGCCACTATTCTAACACACTGCCACGCGTCTTTTACTCGTGCGCGCGTGTTTCTCGCGCCAGCGAAAATACATGCCGTAAACACATAGGACGCAGTCCCGCACCAGCCCCCCGCCCGTGCGCATCCAGCCGACTTACTGTAACGCCTAACACGGCCGTCGTCAAAGTAGCCGGTGGCGGCGCGCCGATGCCGACAACGCCCACGACGCCGCCGACAACACGTCAGTTCCAACAACACCACGCTGACTCGTGACGCGACCGACGGTAACGCGCGCTTACTTTTGCTATAGTATGCCGCCGCCGTGCGCCGCTGCGGGACGGGACTGTCGACGTCGCTGCTGTCCGAGTCCTGGTAGCCGCCGCCGCCACGCGACGGCGGCGGCGAGCGGCAGCGTCGCCCCATCACTGGTGACGAGCACGCCCCTATGCCGACCCTCCGCTGCGCGCGGCCCGCGTCTCGCTGCTGCTGCTGCTGCGACAGACGCGCTCTCACGCCGTCGGGCACGGCGCGTCGTATCGGAGGTCCCCTCGTCTCTAGCGGCGAGTTCATGTAGGGCCGCGTTCCCAGGTCCCTACTGCCGCACGACAGTGACGCCTCGGCGAACTTCACTCGCGCCGCACTCTCGCGCGAGGCGCTGTCGCTGCTGACGCGAAAGAGCGACGTCTTGTTGCCGCCCGTCGGCGTCGTCGTCGTCGTCACCGTCGTCGCCATCGTACGTCGGGTCGGCGACGATCTAGACGGACTATAACGTCGGCTCAGCGTCGACGCGACGTTTCGTATTCCGCTTGGTGCGGAGATCACCTTGCGTAGCGTGCGATCGACGATGCCGACCGCCTTCTCTCGCACGCTGGCCGACGGAGATCGTCCGTACGTGTAGCCGCACGGAGTAGACAGGTCCCTGCGAATGCCAGTCGCCTGCGAGCCGGCGTAAGTTGTTTTCTGCGCGTTGCGGCTAGCTCGTTGCGAGGCGCCACTGTCGCTGCTGCTGCTACCGTGAGGGTAGCTGCTCGCTGCGGCGGCGGCGGCGGGCGGCGCTCCGGCGCTGCGCGGCGTAACATAGGCGCCCGGAGCCGGCGTGACGCATGTGTACTGCGTGCGAAAGTTGCTGCGACCCAGCGCCGAGTGCTGATGGTAGTCGTGTCGGAACAAGTTGTTTTTCTCGCCGTGACGAGGCGATCTACGTGAAGTCCTATCCATCGCTTCATCGGTTTACACGCGCATAAACACTAAGGCGAAACATCTGCCGTCTGCAGCGGCGCGGCGGGCGGCTGCCGGTTCGCGCGTGAAGAGCAACGCATCTCTGGTCGATGGACTTCACTCACACGTCATGTTTGTATGCATTCAACAAGAGATGCGGCTAGGCGGTTAGCTCTCGCTTTCCTTGTTGCGCTTGCACTCTCTCTATCGCACGCGCTATCTCTTTCAATTACGCTCACGAGTGCGTTCGCTTACCCTTTCTCGTTCTCCATCTCATGCACTCGATCTCTCTGTCAGTCGCTTGCCCGTTCTCTCTTTCTCTGTATGTCTCTTTGTGTGTCTGCTCTGTCACATTCTCTCTCTCTCTCTCTCTCTCTTTCTTTTGCTTCTGCTCACGTTTTCTTTTGCTCTCCTTGTCTATCGCCTATCTGTGTCGCTCTTTCCTCTTTCTGTCCGTATTTCTTCGCTGTCTGTCGTTGCTGGCACACAATGACGCGGGAAATGTATAGAAATGCGATCGGTCTATCTCTCGCACGTAATCGGTTGCCTGCGAAATGGATACGCAACTGTTCGTACACCGCATCCCGAACTAACCTCTTACGATCAGAATTAGTCGTTCATCACGTCGTCGGCTAGACCGGCAGATGTCGTCAGTCGCCGTTCTTGGATACGTACACGCGAACCAACGACGGACTACAACCGCAAGCTGACTCGTGTCGCACCAAATCCGCGCGTCGGCTATAGCAGACAGCGACGTCGGTAGGCCGGTTGCTAGGTTACCTATCTGCGCAGACACTGACGACGAAAACGGGATTCGGCCACTAACAAGAGGAAGCAGGTGCAGATTCGCGCGCGTGCCTGCCAGGCGCCTATTTATACGAGGGGTTTGTACGCCGGTGTTGTTATTACCTCCTTGCTCGCTCCGGCACCGACACGCGCAAGCCTGTGTAAACACACGCGCGCGTACTGCGCATGCGCGCGCGCATGCGCCACGCGTCGGCAAGCTGCTCCCACCGCACGAGCGTAACGACAGGTATCGTAGACAGACCGTCGCAGCTACGGGCACCTATCAGCGGCC